CTTTACATGCCCAGGGGATAGCGCTTTTCATGGGAGCTTTCCAGAGCACTCCATAAATATTCATTAATTAATTACCCGGGAGCACCTCAGTGCCCCGCCTGATTAATAAATATTATCAGCTCCATTTTAAAGATGGGGAAACAGAGGCACAGAGAGCTTAAGTGACTTGTCCAGAGTTGCACAGCTAGTCACTGGCAGAGTGGGGGATAGAGCCCAGGTCTCCTGACTCCCAGTTCCTTGTGTAACCCCTAAACCAAATTCCCTGGAGCGGCGTCTCTGGCTTCTTTCATAACAAGTAAGTAGCATAGTTTAAAAAAACAGTTTGATTGAAGAGCGGAAGGGCAGAACAGCGGGTCTGTGCTGGGTAGGCGGAGGCGCTGTGTGATTGCCCTGGGTTGTCATGACTGGTTCTTTCCTTTCACAGCCTCCCTGAAGCTCTCTGCAGCAGAAGCAGCTCACATGCAGCACCTGCGCCAGTTGCCCGAAGGCCAGCAATCCCCATGCCAGCTGCTGCAGTCGTCCCAGAACATCAAAGGCCACCAGCAGCGGGTGGTCACGCTGGCTCAGCACATCAGCGTAATCAGCCTCTCTCTCCTCTTCCCGTCCAGGGGTTGTTCTGGGGCGTCTCCGCTGGGGTCAGCGGAGAATGGGCCAGGAGTGGAGTCAGGAGCCTTGGTGGCAGACCCGGCGGGGGGGGTAGCAGGTCACCTTGTTCTGCGGCAACCCCTCTGGCCTTTTGCTTTTGGAGGCAGCAGAGTGCTGCAGAGAAGCCCAGGAGAGAAGGGTGCTTCCCGTCCTCCTGCCTATAAGGACCAGCCAGCAAAACTAGGAGGGGAGAAATAAATAGGGCTCAGCGCCAGAGGGTGCCCTCCCATCCCTGCCACATAAACTACAGCCCAGTGAAGGGTCGCAGACAGAAGTGCTGACTCAAGGCGTTTCTTCTTCTAGGAGGTTATCACACAAGACTACACGCGCCATCATCCTCAGCAGCTCAACTCCCACCTCCAGACCCCGGTGTACTCCTTCCCTGGGGCCACGTGTCCCGTGCTGGACCTGCGAAGGACGCCCAGCGAGGCTTACATCCAGCCGCAGGAGCATGCTCCGGCCTCCAGAATCTCCCCGCAGAGCGAGGGAGACAAGAGGTGAGCTCAGCATCAGATCGGGACAGCTATGAGGTATGGCTCATGGTCACTCTCTTCAGCGGTCTCTGCACCAGGGGGAAAGGGAGCGTTTGGAACACGTGGGAATGAGCACAGGCAAACTTCCCAGTGGAGACAGGGCACGTTGTAGTTTTAACGCGGCTTAGCTGGTCACCGGGAGTTCCAGGCACCCCCGGTAGGGTTCACATCGACCAGCTAATGCAGCTTGCCCTGGCCACGCAGAGATTTTAACGTGGTAGTGATCGTGCTTTTAAAACACACAAACAACCGAGCCCTAATCCTGAGCTTTCTCCAGAGCCTGGCTGGTCTTAGGACAGTTCCCTGCAGGATCGTGCTAGAATCTGCCCCCTGTTGGTTGCAAGAGGAAACAACGTGCTCAGTACTAAAAATAAAACCAAGGAGAAAATAACAACAAAAAAACCCCTAGAGAAAGTTCCTGACAGCTCCTGCTCATCTTTGTCCCTGGTGATTGGTGGAGTTTTGAGCCCTTGTACTTCCAGCCGGCCATATTAGTGCTTTCAGAGGGTGCAGGAGTGTCCGATGTGCTCCTAGAGACTGTCACAATGTGTTAACACTGCAGCAAGAGAACACGAACTCTCTGGACTCTGCAGGTCCATACCTTCGAAGGGTTAATTCTCCGTAATGTCATAGCTTTGATTGATGCATTCTAGAGGAGTTTAGATGAGGCCCCGCTCGCTGCAAATGCAGGACATCGCCCCGGGTAGAGGATGTACTGATAGGACACTTGATCTGAGCCACAAAGTCCCAGGGTTAGTTCCTCTGTTTCTGCAGTGTAACTATATTAGGGCCAATTGCAGGATTACATACGAGTTGGCTACAGCTTAGGGGCCTGTCTAAATTTAATCCTTACAATATAGGCGTGTAGTTCAGAAACACACAAAGCGACAAAAACGTGCAACTTAAGGGTAACATTAAGGGCTTGGGTGGTTGGTTTCCCCCTTCTCCATGACACTCCAGTTTGCAGAAGGGTTTTAATCCCTCTGTGCAGTGGTTAAGAGCATTGTAATGGAATAACAGCGTCTCACTACACCATCCTCAGATCTCCTGAGCAGAGCAAAGCGTCTGCGGGGAGTGCACCAGATGACTGCATCGAGCCTGTCTCGCCACCAGACGGCATGGGAGAGCCGGAGCACGCAAGGAGCACCTCGTACCCAATCTTGTACCGAGAGGGAGAACAGTCAGAGCAGAGGTAACCACAGAAGATGGGGAATGTGGACTCGTCCTGCCTGGCCGGGGGTTACAGCACAAAAGCAATACTCTGGGGTCTTCCTTCCCCTGAGCGTTCTACTCTGAGCGCTTTGGGGGCAGAGCTGGGAGCACAAACCTTTACCCTCCAATGGTAGCCTCCAGTGTTGTCACTCTATGCTGCCTGCCCTTGAGCGCTCTGGGTCCGGCCTGGAGTGGCTGGCTGGGCTGACTGCCAGCTTTCTTTATTTGTATTGCTGCTGGGGTTGGATATGCCACCAAAGAACAGGGGTGAGGGATTAACTCGCTTTGCAACCTCTTCCCAAAGTCCTCCCCTCTGACTGCCAGCGCCCGGGGGCAGCGCTTTGCCTCCCATCTGTGGCTGTCCAAGCATAGTTCATTAACTCTCCCAACCCCTCTGCGCAAAGTATTTGACCCCTGCTGCAGGGTGGTAGACGGAGGCTGAGTGACTTTCCCCAAGGTCACATGCAGAGGCAGTGTCAGGAGTGGAACCCAGGCATCCTGACTCCTTCCAATTCTTTCCTGCAGCTCAGGGCCAGCCTGTCCTGGCAGCTCAGAGATCCCCTGCCCTAGTCCTCAGTCTCTCCCAAGGTGCCTTACCAGATAATCTTTCTGCTCCGGTGATTGGCTGAGCAGAAAGAATTCACTTCCAGGGTAGGGGATTTCGGGGCCCAGAGGAGAATTTTGTTGGGGCCCTTGACTCTAGGGTAAGAAGAGCTAGGCCAGAAGTGTTTCTCTTCCAGCCAAGAGACATTTTGTGGTCTGGACCTCCTGGGGGAATAAGCCACACTGTATTTAGGGGCCTTTGATCAGTCTCAAATTGAAGACAACCTGACTCCTAAGTCTAAGCTAGAAAGGCCCCAATATCTGGATGGCCTGGGGGCTGGTTCAAAGCATCTGGCGGCTAAAGGGATAGGGGATCTATAGACAGAAGGGCGTAGCGTGGGCCCTCTGCAGCCATTGCTGATCGCCTTTTGCTTCACAGAATGGGTTCCAAATCCCCAGGAAACAACACCCAGCCCCCAGCCTTCTTCAGCAAACTGACCGAGAGCAACTCCGCCATGGTGAAATCCAAGAAGCAGGAGATCATCAAAAAGCTCGGCACGACCAACAGGAGCGAAACGGAGTACAGTAAGGCTTTCAGGCTGGGGCTTTCATGCAGCAGCCACCGGAGGGAGCGGGGTGGGATGAAGGCGCCTTGCAAAACCAAAGAAGGGAGAGGGAATTCCAAAGTAGCCTTCTTTCTGACATGATTTAAAGGGACAGGAGCCCACCTCCCAGACTTGAGCAGTCTGAAGCCAGTTTTGTCTGGGGATGAGAATTTGCTGCCCCATGCTCTTATCCCATCCGTGCAGTGGCGTATTGTTAAATACAGGTGCGTAAGCACGTCTTGTGCCTCTCCTGCATACAAGTACCGTGCCTGTGTGCGGCTGGGCGTGTTGGGAACCGTCTTAGTTCAGTGTCTTTCCACTGCACAGATCTGTCAGAGAGAGGAATGGGGCGGGGAGATCTGCTGATGGGGAAAAGAGATAGAAAGGCAGGTGACTTAGGGGCCTTAAGGATGGTTCATGGCCCTGTATTGTGATGGCCATTTAGGTCAAATATACCCCTCTGCCACTGCAAGCCGCATTGGTAGTGCCGGCAGCTAGCCGGGCTCTATGAGGTGCCTCTCAGAAGCCTGTCCTTTCTTTGGGGCTGTCGGTCCAGCACCACTCACCGACACTGAACGACCTCAATAGGAACTAACTAACAAGTGAAGAATAGAGGAGTCTTAAGAGCTATTGACGTTTTTAATGACTGTCCAGCCAGCCTGAATTCTGCCTCCTGAAGATGTATCTGTCAGACCCGACATCAATATTGGTACAGCTCTGAAAAAACACCCAGCCTGACTTGTAGTCGAAATTCATCCCATTCCTTCATTAGCCGCTAATAGAGTAGATAGGATCATAATTTAATTTAGCTTGGCATTATACAGTCAATACTAATTCAATTTGAATCCATCTTGTAACAGCTGCATTGGATAAGAAGGACCGAGCTGTCTCGTCCTGTGTATGTTGTTACCATAATCCAACCACGTTGTTAGGTTCCTTGGGGGATGCATGGTTGACCTCCCACTCGTTTCCTTATCGGGGGGGAAATATACAGAAATAGGAAACGCCTTGTGTTTGATGAGAACTGCTGTTATTCTAAGGAAAGCGATACTCAAGTCAAATAGCTCAGCTAAGAGAGAAAATATTGACTTAGTATTTCCCCCTCGCTAAATGCATGAACGAAAACTCTTCTTTGGGAATAGGGGATTGAGCCTTTGGAAACGCCTTGAGAAAGCTCTGGGTTTTGTACCCCAGCTTAACCTCCCAGAGGGCAGGATCTCGGGGTGGAGGGAGACAGGAGTGCACTTGTGGACATCAACATAACTCTCTGGAGCTGTGCTGCATTAATGCCAGTAGGTTTAGACCTGTACCCATGGTTCTCTGTTGCAATCTCTGGTCCACTTGGTGAGAGCAGCGTTCTCCCATGCATCCAACTTCCCAAACCGCCGCTCCTTGCCTGTCAGGCCACCTGGAAGGGCTTTACAA